TTGGAACAGGCTGCCCAGGGAAGTGGTTGAGTCTCCATCCCTGGAGGTATTTAAGCAACAGATAGATGTGGTGCTTGAAGACATGGTATAGATGGACTTGGCAGTGCTAGGTTAACGGTTGGACTCGATGATCTTAAGGGTCTTTTCCAACCTTGACGATCCTATGATTCTATGATTCTAATTTATTATAGTGCTGATGAACATTCTAAGTTCAGAGCCAGATCCCTAAAAATCTATTTTAGGCCTTAAGAATCTATTTTAAAACTACGTACTTTTATTTAGGTTCATGTATTCTAGTTTTCTTACTTTAACAATGGACACTAAGAAAGCTAAGGAAATGGATTGTTTGTTTAATAAACTGGGGGTGGGAGGGAAGCAGCTATCACATGAACTGCCATTAGTTAGGCTGTTTCTGTGAGGCACCCATAAAAATATGCAAAACAAGTTTCTTAGCAGAAAGAAATTATATTAGTAGAATTGTTATCAAAAAAGCAGCAGCATTTCCTGTAGCTTCAACTTTGTCAAACTTAAATGTCTAATATCTACACAGGGAAATTTATGTGCATCTGGTCATCAGTTTTTCAAGAACTGTTTCCAGAATTGGTATACAACCCTCAGCCTTTAAAGTCTGCTTAAAGAAGTCATCTTCTAATGTTTCACAGCATATTTGGTGGACCCAAGCAATTACAGGACCCCTTCTAACTCTATTGCCTCTTTCCATTCTCAACTAAAATTACCAAGTTTATGTCATAAACAAACACTGTTTCTCTTCTACATTGTATTCATTATAATTCAACTACTACAAGTTTAAGTTTCTCTCTTTACTTGTTTTTCCTTTCCTCATTCAAACATCAGAGGCACAGAAGATATTTTTTCCTGTGTTTTTACAATCACACTAATTCTGCCAAAACCCATTTTCACTGCCTGACTGTATCCTCACATTTAATTTCAACTAATTTTGGTTTTGAGCTATTCAAGTGCCACAGGCATAATCTCCTTCCAAAAATCTCTTCTCCAAAGTTCACAGTTGTTTTTCCTATTCCATCAGTTAAGTTCCTTTCAGTTATTCCTCTTCCCCTTGCAACGGCATACTGAGCATGTTACCATATACCCCAAGAGCTCCATTAGCAAGACAAGAGCAGAGTAACACTGCAAAAATGCTCCACAGCAGCACGTAGAAACGAGCAGAGTGGACGAGACCCCACGAAACCAGTTTAATCCACAAGTACTGAGATGATGCATAAGATACAACGTTGAAGAGTGAAGCACATAAAACACAGCCGGATTTCATACAGCTGTTGCGCGCCTGGTGGAGGTGGCCGTTATCAGGGCAGCGTCACCGCAGCACCCAGCCGAGCAGCGCGACGTCACCACGCCGGTACTCGCGTGCCGCCCCGCGCGCGGGGCCGTTAGCAGCTGCGGTGGGGGGACACAGGCGCCCGCGGCCCCGCTCGC